CGAAGATATGGAGGAGGGAATGCGAGGCTATGCCCGCTTAGCCCTACGGGCCTTATTTGCAACAAGGTCGGCCGCCCTAAGTGAAGGCAGGCACGACAGGCCCTCAGGGCCTCACTTTCAGGGTACCCCCGCAAATGGGGAAATTCAGGCAGTTGCACAGCATCAGTTGGTTGAATGAACTCAGGCCCTGGGCCGCCCATGTGAATGAATGTAAAGCAGGCCCTGGGCTGGGTACGGGTACCGGGCCAAGCACAGACCGAAAGCAGTTGGGCACAAGTAACTACTTCAGGCCCACTGCCTGTATTCCTCGTGACTGGGCCTCAGGCTACCGGGGCCTACTGGAAGCTTCTTGGACTGGACGCAGGCAGGCCACGGGGATATAGGCAAGGGCCAGCCTCCTTATTTGTCATTCGGGTGCTGGCTGCATGCTGCGACAGCACTGCTGCGCTATTTGCTGGCTGGCGCCCTCGCACTCACGGGCGAGTGAGGAAGAAGCAGGCAGCCATAGCCACGCTGCCTGCTGTTTGCTAGGTGGGGCGCTGGGTGGTCCTTGGGTGCTAGAGGCATCTGTGTGGTAAGGATCGGGGTTGAGAGCAAAGTGGGAGACATACCTGGTGCTTGAGACGAGCGGCATTGGCCGYATATGCTCGTACTTCGGTGAAGCTGTTGACGTCAACTTCGGCATTGTAGTAGTAGGCTAGATAGGACCTGCCATCTTGTGGTCTGGGCGCCGAGCGCCAGTAGGATATCRACTCTTGTTCTTTGTTGATGATGATGGGAGACAACTTCAGCATTGTCAATCACGAACTATTGCTGTGTTCTTATTGGGTGAAACTCGTGATGCCATTCTGCTTATGGTTCGAGGTCATGGCTATCTGGTAACTTATGTATGATGCTGTTTGCGTTCTGGAGTTCGCTATTGCTCATCTTCCTTGCAGTTGCCCTGTCTCACTCTTAATACTGCTAAAAAAAGCAGAGATGAGCCAGGCTCAATAGAAGCACGGGGTTCAGCGCACATTATTGGATCAAACAGTCCCGTTCCCTAGGAGTAAAGTAAATTTAAGACATCGTCGAATCATGGCTCTGAGGGAAAGGGGAAAGAGAATTACGAGAACATAAGCAAACGAGTGTGAGTATTCCAGAGCTCGGCAACATTGATCGTTTCCACTATTCCCCTCCCATCCAGTCTCTCACTGCTACTTTCGTAAGTTCACCTCAAAGTGGTCCATAAGCCTGCTAGTCCCAATTTCTTTTACAGAAGTTAAGAGAAACGTCGCGACGACAGATCATACCTTGTCCAAAAACACTAGGCCTTCTTTTCTCTATGCATTCTCATGAACTCACCACTTGCAAATGTCACTTCATGAAAATGAAGGTAAACAAATCGTCGAAGGGCTTACTTAACTAATCACATGTTAGCATACAACATAAATCAATTGGCGACATCAAAGATCCTGATGCCCAACTCTTATAGTCCCAACTGTCTCCTCTCGGTGGAGAAAGGGCAAGCTGCATCTTTTTTTTTTTTTTTTTTTTTTTAAAACACACACCCCCTGCAATGCTAGTGGTGCTGGTAAGAGCGGACACCACTAGCATCCGGGGGGGCTCCATCTATTGGTGGGGAGCGTCACCTGCTGGAAAACGGGTCCAGCATCCCTTTACAGAATGGAAAAAGCAGAATGAAAAAATGACTGTTAACTCTGCCAGCATTGATTACTCTGGTATCCAGAGGATTGACTGCGCAGGTTGTCAGAGGAGGGGACCTCTCCACCCCAGTACTAGGCGCCAGATGTCTAACGCTACAGAGTTAGCTCCTCCCTTCCTCAAGCGCTATCTGCTGCTGCAGGTCCCTCCAATGCTTCCAATTTAACAATATTGTCCACTGTCCCAATAGCTCCAGATGTCTGTATTCTATATATGCGGGGTCCTCCCCAGGGGGTACCAGGGAGGACGCCTATCCGGGGGCGTTTCTGAGGAATGTAGCGGAGGTCTGATAAAGGCAAGGGGATTTTGGATGTTGGAATCAGGATAGAATTTCAACCATTGACAAGGTATGGGGCGGGAAGGGGTCTGGAAAATCTGAGGGAGGACGTAATGGGGAATGAGGGCTCTATGTTTGTCCAGTCTTTAAAAACGAGATGGTAGTCTCTTAGGTCTTCCAAATCGTGCGAACCTTCCCTAAATTCTCCACTCCACACTACTTTTGCAATCAATCCTTCTCTTTCCCCACCTAACCAGTCCCTGCAAAATACCGTAATCCATCTCCTAACATCTCCGATTTGTTTAAAGGAATCCAATTGTGCTTTCAGCAAATCACACTTATTTCCTTTTTCGTAGTCCTTATATCTCCTGGTTGAGAATGCAGTCATGCAGCCACCAACTGCCGGTCACATTCATCAATTAGATAGAAACCAGCTTTATAATCGTTGTGAGCAACTTTCAGAGAGAGATTAACATTGACTATCACTAGTTTGCACATCGGAAAGGGGCCTCGGGTGAAGTCTGACTCTACTCACTTTTGCTAGACACACTCGATTTGACAGCTAGAAAGATGATCAGTTCAGCTCACACACTAAGCTGACGATCCCTGCAATGAAATAGTCCGCATCTTTTCCCACAACAATCTTGCTTTACTCACTCAAGTGTACAGTTACAAGCATCTCACCTGACAACCATTCTGAACGTGCTTTCCTCATCAAGATCAACTCTGCGCAGGACCCAAACGACCTCAGCAACAGGAGCACGTCTGTCCCGAGCCCGAGAAGACAAAGTTCTACAAACAGGTACTCGAGAGAAATGCAGTTAGCCACACGGTTCTTCACTCGTGTTTTCACATGAACACCCAGCTTTAGACAAAGACCCTAAGCAGTCAGTGTCATAAGTGCATAACATGTTCATTATCTGACTATAAACCCCAGGCTTCACCAATGACTGTCTCACGGTTTTCACTCAGCACATATTCTCAATTTAAGTGCACACACAGGTAATGACAAGAAGTAGTAGGCGACATCAAACTTTTCTCCAAAACTTGGCTCCTCAACAAGAGATGACCTTTCATAAGCTCACACTTACTTCCACTTCAATTTAGACAGTGCTGCTGCCAGCAGTAACACACAATCCCACGGACGCCTCATGTTATATTGTCTCTTAAGCACTGATTTCTCTCCACGCACTAACTGCTTTGTGCGCGCGGACTGATTTACATCACAAAACACTGACTGAATGTACGTAGCTTACCTTGCAACCTCCCGCCTCTTCAATTCTCTTTGTTTACTCAGTCTCTCAGGTGTAGTGAGTCAAACTCGCATACAGGTAGTTGACGTCAACAACAACATGTTGATCTACCTTACCGTGAGCCTCTCTCTTGATAAGATGACTTGCATTGGGAAGCGTCGAATAGAACATGATACAAGGACCGCGTCAGTAGAACGCACAAATCTCTCGTTCCCGATCCCCAGTTCAGAAAACAAGAACCTTTGACGTCAAACCAATAGTTGAACGCATAGCCTTTCTCCACAAGCATGGTTTGTCAAACTTTGTCTCATTGTCTCCTCTTTGTTGAGCCCGTCTGAAAACTGTCATTGTCAGCGATGCCGCATGGCGAAACATCTAGCAAGCCCTTCACACCGTCTCTCAAACGCACTGGCTTTCTTCCACATGAACTCCGTTGTCTATGTGTGCATTGGTCTCTCATCTCGCCGCAACACTGATTGACGACCCATATTCGTCTCTCGCACCCAAAATCCTTGTTGTTGCTTGATTAGCTTATTTCGCAGCAGCAAGCGTTTGCATTTCTTGCAGAGTTTTTTTCCCACACGCACACATACGCCTTCTTCAAGAGTTGACCTCCCTTCCCTTGCTCACTCCTTTCGGGTGTGCAGCTCTCTTCCCGGCTCTCAACGAAAGCGTGTAATTGCCTTGCGGTTTCAATCTCGCTACCCGAGAGAACTGGCCTCCGGGGTCTCTTCCCCCAATTCGACCAATGGGTGGTCCCTTCGCCAATGTTCCATATCGTGCCAAGACAGCGTCTCTACGCCACTATCTTCAGACTCAGCCTCCGAGTCCCTATCCATGCACGGCTCTTACAGGTTGCTGACCTCATGGACTCAACGTTCTCTGGCGTGGGTGAGTCGGCCTTATCTGCCTCTCTCTTGTGTGGTTTGAGTGTCACACATACGAGAGGTCCCCTCTCTCTTGACAGGCGTAACTATCTCGTGGCCTTACTGTTTGTCCTGTTGTCATCGTGAGCTTGCCTCCGGGCCGTCCTCCACAGGCTCAGCAGGCGGGTGGGCCCGCCGCCACTGCTCCAGTCCGTACCAGGAGTGGGTCGTTTCCGCATCACGCATTTCGGATTCCTCCTCAGAGTCCCGGTCAAGCCGCTGTTGTTCCCTTTCCATTGTCCCAGTCGATGGGTCATCCTCGTGATAGGTGATAGTCACCCGCATAGCCGCAATTACCCCATCTCGCCTGCATCTCCACTCAGCTTCGTTACGGGCGTCCGTGATCGCCGCAGCTCCTCGTCCCTTCTCATCTGTTGCTCCCAATGTCCCGAGACATTGATCTTTACTCTCACTTCTCCAGTATGCTTCCCGTAAGACAGCATTGTCTCAACCAGAGCACTCTCTCATCCCCACGTTCCCAGGTCCAGGAGTGCCTCATATATCTTGGCCTATAGCCATGCATGCCTTTTCGGTATGCCATAGCCACTTAGATTCACGGCCCTAACTCGCAAAATGCGCGAAGCAGTCCGGCAATAAGTATACACCTACCGAGTCCCGACTGATAGCTGAGCGATCCCACGACCATCTCTTTTATAAAATTCTGAAAGCGGGTGATCCCCTATGTTTTAAAACTATATCTAGGAATCACCTTTTTAATAAATAAATTCTGGAATAAAATGTCGTACCAATTTTTATAATAATTAAATAAACGAAAGTCTACCAGGCTTTAGTACTTCAATAGTCATCTCTAAAAGACAGTCTTACAGCCCACGTTAGCAGTCTTTTCAGCTCTCAATGGACCGAGAGCTGGTTCGACGCGCGGTGGTCCCATAACAGGATATTGATAGGCACCTCTTCCTCTCTTAAAAAGAGTCGTCGGACTACTACAGATGGGTACCCGTCTCCGATGGCAAGGAGGGGGCTTATGACCTTCTGCGGAAGGTGATAAGCCTCCTACCAAAACAGTTGCGGGTCACCCCTCTTTTGGGGTCTTACTACGCGGCAGTTACTAGGTTGCGCCCGCAATAAAGCGAAATGCGAAGAGTCGGCCAATCTAGGCCACTTGCTTATAATCACAGTTCAGAATTGAACGGTTCGCCCCCCCACAAAGTGACGGGGAGGGGGAATTAAGATTTGAAAAAGAGCACGAAAAATCAGGGACTTATTAAAAGGGAAAAGAAGAAAAAGGAAACCACCTAGAGCCACGGCTATTAGGAACCGTCCGATTGAATACTTCTAGAATCACAATCTGGATTTGAATGCAGGTATGAAGAGCGGCACTCTGTTTTTCATTTTTCTCTTTTCTTTTTTCTTTTTCTTTTTCTCTACATCCCCCTTTTTTCAGACTTTTGCAGTCACTACCTATCCCATAACTTGGCTAGAGGGAACTCGACGCACAATAGGAAAGACCGCACTGGTCCCTCTACATTCGCGTCCCTGGGCGAGCCCGGCGGCTACCACGGCCACAGGCTGGTCGTGCTCTGTTATACAGCAGGGCGCCGAGCCTGCGTGGACCAATGGAAAGTCCAGTGGCATACCTCCCTTCTTTCACCTGTGGAAGCACGGACTGGACCTGTCCCATAGCAGAATGCAGTCCGAGTACGCATGGTACGCCACGGAGGTTTGTGAGCCTAGTACACCGAGGAGGTCTGTGCAGGGAGCTGGTACCCCGCGGAGGGCCGGGACACCGTGCCCTCAGACAACGCGTGTGCACCGCCCCTCCATTTCCTTGGGCATACATCGACAACTGACAGCGACATGTCTGTCGCGAGTGTTGTGCAGTAGGCCTTCACCGTCCACCCACGCATATGCACCGATCCCCTGACCCCGATTGTCGCCTAATCTGTAGTCGTCCACTTTCGAATCCGTTCGTCATTGCGGAAGACTAACGGACCCCGCAAGGTGGCCCGAGCAAGTCGCATTGACCCCCAGCCCACCTGTTGCATACCGTATAGGTGCAGACCAGAACAAGAACCGACCTTTCAATACAAAGTATAAAATAGCACAGCGGAAGACTTAGATACCAATGATCCGAACAATCAATATTGCAATGCAGCCC